AAAGTAGAAAATAAATGCTATAGGCCCTACATCACAATAATGCAAGCGATCACTCTACTATAAGCGATCAAAAACGTGGGGCGCCGAAGTAAAAGTTATATTACTATTGATTAGATAATACTATTGACTTTTATTAGGGAGCTTGTAGAGAGTCAACAGTATTAGAAACTGTAAGAAAATCACGGCGCCCCACGTTTTTGCTCGCTTATAGTAGAGTGATCGCTTGCATTATTGTGATGTAGGGCCTATAGCATTTATTTTCTACTTTTTAGTTCAATCAGAAAACGTGGGTTTTTTAAAACTTTTTTAATGATTATTATTTTCTACTTTTTAGTCTTTGTCTGTTTGTTTGCATTAAAATCTTGCTATCGATTTTATCTTTTCACTTTTTTTGGGTAAACGAAGACAACTCGTAAAAAGACAACTCGTAAAAAGACAACTCGTAAAAAGACAACTCGTAAAAAACTCGTTGTTTGAATACGTTACTGACTAGAACACATAGATTTGAACCCGTGTCGAGTGGGATAGCAATCGTGTGCCCAACCACTCGACCATATCGTCTCCCCCAAACTGGCCTACCTCCTGTAAGTTTAAACTCGGTTCAAGCTAAATTCTCTGCCCCTAAGCCTGTGGCGACATGTGATCGTTCGCTTCACTGCGCGCGAGGTACGCGTCGCTGGTTTTTTTTCTAATGGCTAGCAGAGGAGAATTATATATATAGATTATATAGCGGTCTAAAATGCTCAATAAAATGTTTCCATTGATCAATTTAGTAATAATAACAATTGAATATTCAATGGTCATCCAAAAGAAAGCTTCCCTGAAAATTTCAGCGCGCTAGCTAACTGGGAAGTGCCAGAAATTTCGATCGCAAGATTTGATTGGAAAGACAAACACACAAACAGAGAAAGCAAGTTAAAGAAAACGTGGGAAAATACAAGTGAGTTAGAGAGTTTGGCGTTTAAAATACAAGTGAATTAGAGAGTTTGGCGTTTAAAATACAAGTGAGTTAGAGAGTTTGGCGTTTAAAATACAAGTGAGTTAGAGAGTTTGGCGTCTAAAATACAAGTGAGTTAGAGAGTTTGGCGTCTAAAATACAAGTGAGTTAGAGAGTTTAGCGTCTAAAATACAAGTGAGTTAGAGAGTTTGGCGTCTAAAATACAAGTGAGTTAGAGAGTTTGGCGTCTAAAATACAAGTGAGTTAGAGAGTTTAGCGTCTAAAATACAAGTGAGTTAGAGAGTTTGGCGTCTAAAATACAAGTGAGTTAGAGAGTTTGGCGTCTAAAATACAAGTGAGTTAGAGAGTTTAGCGTCTAAAATACAAGTGAGTTAGAGAGTTTGGCATCTAAAATACAAGTGAGTTAGAGAGTTTGGCGTCTAAAATACAAGTGAGTTAGAGAGTTTGGCGTCTAAAATACAAGTGAGTTAGAGAGTTTGGCGTTTAAAATACAAGTGAGTTAGAGAGTTTGGCGTCTAAAATACAAGTGAGTTAGAGAGTTTGGCGTCTAAAATACAAGTGAGTTAGAGAGTTTGGCGTCTAAAATACAAGTGAGTTAGAGAGTTTGGCGTTTAAAATACAAGTGAGTTAGAGAGTTTGGCGTCTAAAATACAAGTGAGTTAGAGAGTTTGGCGTCTAAAATACAAGTGAGTTAGAGAGTTTGGCGTCTAAAATACAAGTGAGTTAGAGAGTTTAGCGTCTAAAATACAAGTGAGTTAGAGAGTTTGGCGTCTAAAATACAAGTGAGTTAGAGAGTTTGGCGTCTAAAATACAAGTGAGTTAGAGAGTTTAGCGTCTAAAATACAAGTGAGTTAGAGAGTTTGGCGTTTAAAATACAAGTGAGTTAGAGAGTTTGGCGTTTAAAATACAAGTGAGTTAGAGAGTTTGGCGTCACCGGTTGAAACATCAGTCTTGCTGTGATAACAAAACGAAGCATTTAATGGGTACTTTTATAAAAATTAAATCTAATCATTTTTTTAAAAAATGTTAGGAGTGAGGATTTTTTTTTTAATGTCTGAAGTAGGCGTGGTTTCATTCTAGGTGAGGGAGTTTTCTCTAGCGCGTTTAGTGGGCGTTTCTTAAGTATGATACATGGGTGTGTCTTTAGAACGAGGAGAGGGGGTTTCTTTCATGTCAAGACAGTATTTTTTCCTCAAAGCTGGAGTGGCCTTTTATTTTTTAGCATAAGTGGGCGTATCGTTAATTTATTAAGGGACGTTTTTTATGGCAGGAGGCGGCGTTTTACATTCTCAGGGAGGGCGTTTCTTTAATGCTAAGATAGTGTTTCCTGAAAGTTGAAGTGGCCGTATCTATGTTAGCAGAGTGGGCGTGTTCTTAATGCCCCCGGGGATGCGGTAATATCATATGGGGGTCGGGAGTTGAACTGGTCCTCAATAGGTAGTACCACCCCACCCCCGGGTTGAACTGGTCCTCAAAGGGTGGCGACACCCCCCCCCCCCCACCCGGGTAGCCACCGATAACAAACAGCGATGTGAAGCTTCGTGTAACAAACTTACTCATTGACATACCTGATTATAACATTTTTATTATTTACAACTTACGCATGCGCAGTTGCTTCGTTTGTAGTTGTAGTACACAATATTTTCGTAAAAAAAAAATATTCTAAAAAAAATAATTTTAAATGGCAATTTGAAATCAAATTCATTATAATAAAGATTATTTCCCATACTGATTTAACTAACAGCCTACAGCGATACCCTACATAGTATACACATATCTAAGAAATAAATTTTCTGAAGAATTCGAATTAAAGAGGAATGCGGGGAAAGCTAAAAAAAAATGAGATAATTCCTGACTGTATTATTTTAACCCTCGTTGAATGCACCCATGTGAACTCACGAAAATCGAATGTTCTAGCAGGCCGATGTAATACTCTTCCATTTCTATCCCCCCACCATCTACCCATCCCCTCCCTCCCGGACCGCCCCTGACGTCCCAATCCGATTGATCATTTCAAATATTGTCTTAACCAAATCAGGCTTTATCAGCGGACTCACGTCGATAATTTGTCTAGAAGAGAGACTTTTTTTTTCATGGCCGTCTCTACTACACTAGAGCTGACATAATATGTATCCTACGTCATACTCAGGCAATGTCTACGTTATACTCTGCTTTATTTCAACGTCATACCCCTGGTTTTGTGTCTACGTCATACTCTGGATGTGTCTATGTCATACCGTAGTTTTGTGTCTACGTCATATCCTGTCTGTATCTAGGTCATTTCCTGGCTATCCGTCTACGTCATAACATTGGCTTCGTATGCACGTCATTCTTTGATAGTGACTACGTCATAACAAAGTTGAGTTACGTCATATCCTAATTGCATACGTTTGTGAAAACCCTACTAACTAGCAAATTAACAACTTTCAAACTGTTGAAAAAAAACCACGCAACATTTCAGCGCATGACGTAGCACCTACACGGTATACTTCGTGACGTCAGGCGGCGCCACAGTGGATACCTAACCTACTGCGTGCCCCCTACACGATATTCCCCTTAACGAGTTCTCTACTTCGTGCTGCCTAAAAAAATCTCCTTCAAATTTAATAAGCCGTGCGTTTCTATAATGAACTAATTAAGTACTCCCCTCATTAAAAAAATGCGCACGCAATTGTTATTTTAGCACTACCGACAACCCCGAAATAGCTTTCACGTTGGCCCAAATCAATTCAAATGACGACACGACTAATTATTTCCTTAACCAATTAGCTTACTGGGTATAAAAGCTAACACATTTTTAAGCTCACGGTAAGCGGGTCAGTTATGAAATGTTTTTTTTTTTTAAGTAAGTTAAATGTAGGTGATAATTAACACATCTAGTCTGACACCTCAAGGTTATTTGAAATTTGCATGAGAATTTGATTATAAAAAATGTGACCTCCTCCCCCCCCCCCCCGGTGAGGTTACTGCCCCTCCCTCCCAGCCTCACCATCCAAACCTACAGATTTAATTCTTCTTTTTATTTTTCTAATGTTTTTAACTCATCGTTTGAAGCTCTCTATGTACCAGTTCGTGTGGCCTTTGTGCACGTACCAGGTTGCGTTTAGTAGGTTCGGTTGCCGGGAGGTTTTTAAAACCTTTCGCTTGTGCTGATGAGGTTTTATGGCAACTTCACAGCCTCAGACAATAATCTGCTGTGGAGTTTATTGCGATTTTCGTTCGCGATGTGTTACTGTCTACAGCTGTTTGAAAGAGAAGTTTTAGTGGTTAACATATAAAGTTAACCGGTAAAGATTTGCAGGTTATTTGTCTAGGCTAGGGGAATTAACGAGATTCGTGAATGTTGAGTTGCGTATTAAAAGTAACTTGGCGGTTCTCGTGGCCGGTTAAGTAGAGTTTACTTGTTTCTGTGACCTCATCATACGAATGGATAGTGTGGTCAGCACTAAGCCCAGCCGCCTTTACTGTCCCTAACGTGAGTCAGATACCAGTCTGTGCTGGTTGTACTGAGGTGCAGACTTTGAAATATAGCCGGGGATCCGAACTCGATACTTTCGTGTTCGCAGTCATGCGCTCTACTATCCTACCATCCCGCCCCAATAGTGCCATTATAATAGCGACTTATAAAATGTGACACCAACGTGACACTCCAACACGTGACACCTACGTGACACTGTAACACGTGACACTGTAATACGTGACTAACACGTGACTCCAACGTGACACCGACGTGACACCGACCAGTGACACCGACCAGTGACACCGACGTAACACAGACCAGTGCCACCAGCCGTAACGAAGACACGTAAACCCCAGACGCTGGCTTAACGACCCCCAGAAGAAAACGCCACCGGACGAGTCAGGACAGACAAACAAAACGCTAAAGATCCCAAAGTGAGTAATCCCGTGTTGGGCCGCGCGACTCCCCTCCACCCCCACCCCCCTCCCCCACCCACGCTACTGTAATCGACGGGATATCTCGCTGCCAGTTTGTGAGGGAGCAACCTACGATCCAGTACCAGTGAGCGAGAGGCTTGCTGCCCTCCTTCCCCCCTCTTTACACAACTTTATTCGCCTTAATAAGTAAGGTGCACCTAGGCATAACAGTGGTTCAATACGGGACTGGAATAGCTCTGCTTGTGGACTGGATTTATTGCTCTGTGTTCTGTGCTGTGGCGGGTACAGGGACTAACCAAGAGAGTTAGAATTGATGCTACACTCTAACAAGGTCGGGCTACAAAGGTCAATCATGACGTCACTAAGTGGTGAGTACGACTTGACCGCTAAATGTCAATTAAGAAATCATGCGAACGCACCCCTCTTTTTCTTCTTCTCGCTCCGTCCCCCCCGGGGAAACTTTGAATTGCGGAGCTCGAGGGGTGGGTGCCGTTAGGAATACTAAATCTCGCTGTCCTCGGGTTTCAATGTCGCTTGATAGTTTTAGTCACGTGATGGGGTTATTCTCGGACCAGCACAAAGTAAAGGAAAAAAACGAACTTTTGCTTTCATAGGCTAGCCCATGCTTTTTTTAAATTTTTTACTTTATCGGGTTATTAAAATGAAAGCAAAAAAGTGTTATACAAGTATCAATTTCTAAGACAAAAATAAATGTAAAAATTAAATGTGCTTGTATATTACATTTATTTATACAAATTTTAGCCTGTCTTTATTGTAGGTATAGTTTATTACAGTAGAATATTGTAGCTATGGCTAAGTTGTTTGCAAAACAAAAGCTATCGCCTATAACAAATATGATCGTATAGAAAACAAATTCTATCACTGATAGAACAAATGCTATCGCCTGTAACAAATATGATTGTATAGAAAACAAATGCTATCTACTATAACAAATATGATCGTATAGAAAACAAATGCTATCGCCTATAATAAATATGATAGTATAGAAAACAAATGCTATCGCCTATAACAAATATGATCGTATAGAAAACAAATGCTATCTACTATAACAAATATGATCGTATAGAAAACAAATGCTATCGCCTATAATAAATATGATAGTATAGAAAACAAATGCTATCGCCTATAACAAATATGATCGTATAGAAAACAAATGCTATCGCCTATAACAAATATGATCGTATAGAAAACAAATGCTATCGCCTATAACAAATATGATCGTATAGAAAACAAATGCTATCGCCTATAACAAATATGATCTTATAGAAAACAAATTCTATCGCCTATAACAAATATGATCGTATAGAAACAAGTGCTATGATTGATAGAACAAATGCTACCATGTGTAGAACATAGAGCCAAAACATGTAGCCGGCTGATCGATAATTTGTATCGATGGCTTATGGTCGAGTGCCGGCTAAACCAAGTTTGAAAACTTTGTGTCCGTTCAGCTAACAGGACATTTACGCGGCTAAAGCTGCCGGCTTAAGGACAATCGCCGGCTTCTACTCGCATGCCGGCACTGTTTCTATGCCGGTCGTGTCGTGTCCTTGGACGAGATGGGTTTGTGATGCAGACATGCCACAATACATTTTGTTATACTGGGCTACATCACACAACCTCTTTGTTAAAGTTACCAACATCACACAGTCTATTTGTTAAAGTTACCAACATCACACAGTCTATTTGTTAAAGTTACCAACATCACACAGTCTATTTGTTACAGTTACCAACATCACACAGTCTATTTGTTACAGTTACCAACATCACACAGTCTATTTGTTACAGTTACCAACATCACACAGTCTATTTGTTAAAGTTACCAACATCACACAGTCTATTTGTTACAGTTACCAACATCACACAGTCTATTTGTTACAGTTACCAACATCACACAGTCTATTTGTTAAAGTTACCAACATCACACAGTCTATTTGTTACAGTTACCAACATCACACAGTCTATTTGTTACAGTTACCAACATCACACAGTCTATTTGTTACAGTTACCAACATCACACAGTCTATTTTTTACAGTTACCAACATCACACAGTCTATTTGTTACAGTTACCAACATCACACAGTCTATTTGTTAAAGTTACCCAACATCACACAGTCTATTTGTTACAGTTACCAACATCATTTAATCTCTTTGTTATACTGACCAACATCACCCTTTGTTATACTGACCAACATCTCACACACTTTGTTATACTGACCAACATCCCACACACTTTGTTATACTGACCAACATCCCACACACTTTGTTATACTGACCAACATCCCACACACTTTGTTATACTGACCAACATCACACACACTTTGTTATACTGACCAACATCACACACACTTTGTTATACTGACCAACATCACACACACTTTGTTATACTGACCAACATCCCACACACTTTGTTATACTGACCAACATCTCACACACTTTGTTATACTGACCAACATCTCACAAAATGTAGCCTACAGATTTCTTGCGCCTACTCCTACACAAATTCCGTGTCGTATGAATCCAATGTTTACATGCGTATTTAGGCGAGGCGGCGCCACATCGTGTGCACGATTGCTGTCCCTCTCATAAATCTATGCTGTATCGATCACTAAACGTTCCAGCTCTACACACCAATCTGGGAAAATTAAGTGTTCAAAAATGATTACCAAACCCCTCTCAACCCCACGTTTTCTCACCCCACCCATTCTCACCCCACCCCTTCTCACCCCACCCCTTCTCACCCCCCCCCCCCTTCTCTGCCCACCCCTCCCCTTTGGCTTGTATGTCGTTTTGCACTCAGCACGAGGTTTCCATTATCTCATCACGTGATGCACTCTCGCAGATGACCTTCACCCTCAGGTTGGTGCCATCGAACCTGAGATAACCACGACACCGATAGAAAATGTCACTTGGGAGTTACCGTTCCTGGGCACCGTGACACCCCCTAGAGGCTGGTTTATTTACTACGGCGTAGGGGACAGGTGTTGACCGTGGTGCCGCGACATAGTTGTATCACTACGCCTTAGGTAAACACCAGCTGGATTTGTTAAAGTACATCGCTTGTATCTCTACGCGCTAAACAAAGTTACACTCTAATGTTCAAGTCTCATGCAGCGTACTAGGTAGATCCAGTGGCGTAGCGAGGTCGGGTGTCACCCGGTGTGGCACTTAATGGTGTCATCCCCAAGAGGCGTAACTACCCTTCCCGGGGACAAAATTGCACACCCCTCCCCCTCAAACTTTCGATTTGCACTCCCCCACTCAATATTTCGATTTACACCTCTTAAAAGACTACTTAACACTCGAATTAATCAGTTAATTAAGTGGAATTATCATTTTTCTCTATATATTTTGCTATTTTTTGCCTTGGTGTCACCCCCCCCCCCCCAAATGGTGTCACCCGGTGCGGTCCGCATCCCCTGCCCCCCCCCCCCTCGCTACGCCTCTGTGTAGATCTATAGCTTTTATATCGTGTTTAGCATGTAAGATTGTAGCAACGGCATAGGGCTCAGTTAAACTTCTACAAAATCATTGAGACGAGGTCATTTAAACTTTACAAAATAACTCATAACAAAATCACTGCGCTGCTTTCAATGTAACGATTGTAACTCATGTTACATGTAACCACATTACTCTATGATTATGTTCTTCCACATTATCACGATAAGCAACAACGGTCTAGTTGCCCTTGACAACAAGATCTGTATGTAAATATGGGGAATGAACTAGCCAAGCATGAGGGTGCACTAGCCAAGCATGACTCTACACTAGTAAGAGTACAAGTGGATGTGCTGTAACAAAAGGGGGGGGGGGGAGGGGGTTACACTATCAAAGCATGCAACGCTTTAAAGCATGCCATGCCTCTGGTTTTCAGATCTGGAGCAAGGCTGTTGGAAAAGTTAATGACATTCTTTGCTCATTGAGCGGCTCTTTACAGTTTCAAGTTTTAGTTTAGTGGTTTGTGGTTTTCTGGGTCTGAGTAACGTGTGGTTGTCTCGCCATATGAACGCTGTGTGATTTTGTTGCTCTGGATATAGTGTGGTTTTATAGCTCAAGTATAGTGTGGTTTTCTGGGTACCGTGTGGGTTTCTGGGTCTGGGTTTAGTGTGGTTGTCCCACCACATGAGTGATGTGTGGTTTATTGACATACTGTTGGTACGTGATTGTCCCCAGCACGTGGTTTCCCACTTCACCGCACGCATCCAGTTCTATTTGCATCGGCATCAACACTCCATCCTCACCTCCCTCCCTTCCTCTCCTTTTTTCTTCTTCCCTCTCTCTCTTTCTCTCTCTCTCTCTCTCATTTCCCTCCTCTCTTTCCCCCTCCTACTATATATTTCTCCTTTTCTCTCTTTCTCTCTCGCTTCATGTTAATAAAATCTACATTGATACTTTCTGTACACATTGATTCTTTTAAAATATTTTTTTTTCTGAAACTCTTTATACCCTCTTGTTTTCTACATAAAAATTATGTCAAACAAATCAAATCGGCTTTAGGAAAAATTTCCTAAAAATATAATTGCAAATCCAGTTTTCTAAAGTATAATTATCACGAGCTTAACGCAAGCGCAAGGCAGTAATAAGGATAAAATATTTGATACGGCTGCGGTTTCTTTAATGAATAGAAAGCAAATGTAAAGAACAAACATCGCTTTCAAGATGAGTTTTTTCTTCTAAATTTGAATGTGTTAGGGTCCGTGCATGTTTGTGTGTCTATTTAGTTCGTTCAATATCGAAATTCGGGAGATCGTGTGGTTTTTTAATGCAGGATCAGGAATTCACGGAATTAATTTTTTTTATTTTTAAATTCAAAGACAATTTTGTTGACCGTACTTCTGTGCCAAGTTTTTCAAACAGGGGAAGATGTTTTGTAGGCAAAGATGTGGAGTGTGTTTTTGTAGGCAAAGATGTGGAATATCTTTTTATAGGCAAAGATGTGGAATATCTTTTTATAGACAAAGATGTGGAATTTATTTTTGTAGGCAAAGATGTGGAATTTATTTTTGTAGGCAAAGTTGTGGAATGTGAAACGTAATTTTTTATAGGTAAGGATGTATAAGTGCAGAGGCGTAGCGAGGGGGGGGGGGAGGGGAGGCGGGGGTGCAGACCGCACCGGGTGACACCATTTAGGGGGGTGACACCAAGGCAAAAAAAGAGCAAAATATACAGAGAAAACTGATAATTCCACATAATTAAATGATTAATTCGAGTGTTAAGTAGTCATTTAAGAGGTGCAAGTTTGAGGGGGGGGGGTGCAAATCGAAAGTTTGAGGTGGGGGGGGGGTGCAAATCGAAAGTTTGAGGGGGGGGGGGGGTGTGCAAATCGATAAATTGAAAGTTTATCCC